CCTGCGGCGGGCAGGACTCCAGCCAATCGCGGCTCGCGGCTCGCGGCTCGGCTCGGGCGGAGCTGGGTGAGCCAGAGGCTAGACCCAGAGGCCCCAGCGAGACTAACGAGTCGCCTACCCAGAACTGGATGGTCGCAAAGCTGCGGACTTTCCAGGAGGTTGTCGTTGCGAATCTGGCAGCTGAGGTGAGGGGTGGCTGCCCGGCTTGAGACCTGCCTTGGGTTAGGGGAGGCGGAGTCTGGGCGGGAGTAGGGGGCGCAGATTAAGGGTGACTGATAGGGTTTGAGATCCGAGACAGTTCGAGATCGTGAACGAGAGGCGAAGTTGTTGGGGCAGGATCTTCGAGTGGAGGGAATTTGAAGCTGGGCCTTGGGATATTTGGAGAAGCGAGAGATCCAAGGAAGGAACTTTTGGGACAGGGAATATGGAGATTAGAACATTTAGAGTCTCCCAGACGGGTCGAATTCGAGGCTCCAGTATTCTTGAAAAGGTATGAGGGGTTGGCGCTGGGATCCTGGGTATTGGAGAAGCGAAGGAACTAGGAGCAAGGAATCTCGGTTTCTCAGGCGCAGTGGCGGAGAGGGGGTGCTGGGGAGAGTTCCACGTTCAGGTTTTGCAGCCAGAGGGGGAATTTAGAGGTGAAGTGAGAGGCGTTTGAAAGACGGGAGAATAGGAGAGATTTGACGGGGGAAGGTCTCAAAATTGAGATACCTAGTGAGTGTCCCGAACGGAGTGAATCGGAGAGCGTTTGTAATCTTAGAGCAACTTTTGGGGGCCCAGAGTCTCTGGACCCGAGAGCAGTTAGGAAAAAGAATCCAAGACCTTCTGATGTCCGAAGGACCGGGAGAAAGCAGGGTTAGAGCTGCAGTCAGGGGTGGGGGAGGGGTGTTCCGGGCGCAGAGCTCAGACTCTCCTCCCTGAAGGCAGCGGAGGGCGGGGCTCGACAGGCGCCTGGCAGCTGGACGTCCGGGTTCCCTTCCCCCACCCGCCCCGGGTCCATATGCGCATGCCCTGAGGGCGGGCGGGGAAGGTTCCTCCCAGTGGCGTGCGGAGCTCTCTGGGGATTGCAATGCACGCTCAAAGTCAACGTACGTACCTGGCGGCTATTGGCCCACATTTCCCACAAGCCCCTGAGCCAAATTGGGGCGTGTCTGCTGCTGAAGGCAGATCCGTGGAGGGGGTGGGGGCCGTAGGCGGCCGAGGTCTGGTTGGATGGGCCGGCAGGGGGCGGGGCTTTGCGTGAGTCGAGTTCTAGCAAGTCTGTGCGGCTTGCTTTGGGAGAAGCTTAAGGCGCTGACGGAGGTAATGAGGGAGCACTCTCAGTTAAGAGGGCATGAACAGAAGTATACTCTGTGCAAGAAGAGTCTCAACAAATAGGTGCCCTAAGAGTGTTCCAGGTGGCTCGAATATAGTAGGCACTCAATAAATAAAAATTTTGAATAAATAAATGGCATTTGGCACTTGTTCATTAAGCGTTTCATGTGTGATGGGTCCTGTTCAAGTTAACATGTGGAAATGTGAGAAGGTTTACAATCCCCATTTTACAGATGAGGAAACCGAGGCCTAGAGAGGTTAGATCGTTTTCCAAGATCACACAGCTGAGCACTGCAAAAGGCATAGTTAAAACCAAGGATTCCCTCCTCCCAGTCCAGGACTCTGTACTCCACACCTGTCTTGTACGCGTTACATTTGAAGAAATGAGTATTGTGGAAAGAAGTTTTAAGAGTCGGGTGTTAGGCTCATCTTGCAGACGAGGAAAATTGAGTTTCAAGGAGGAAAATTCACTGCTTGAAGCCACCCAGGCAAGTAAGTGGGATTCAGAGCCAGCTGTGTTTAAGCCCAGGTTTTGTTTTCTTAGTCACGTACATTTACTCTTCTCCTTAGCTTTGTGGGATTCATACTGTCTCCATTTTATAAATGTAAAAACTGAGGTTCAGATCATTAATAATCAACAACCATACAGGAGATTCAGGATTTGAACTAGCCCTGCCGTGTCTGACTTGCCCCTTCTCTCTCCACAGGGCATCATGGTGGGAGGCTTGAAGAGGAAACACTCAGACTTGGAGGAGGAAGAGGAGGATGAGAAATGGGACTGGGGCCCGGCAGGCCTGCGAAGCTACCAGCAAGCCCTGCTCCGCATCTCCCTAGACAAAGTCCAGCGAAGCCTGGGCCCCCGAGCACCCAGCCTCCGCAGGCATGTCCTCATCCATAACACCCTCCAACAGCTCCAGGCTGCGCTTTGCCTGGCTCCGGCACCTGCCCTGCCCCCTGAGCCCCTCTTCCTGGGCGAGGAGGACTTCTCCCTGTCGACCACCATCGGTTCTATTCTCAGGGAGCTGGAGACTTCTATGGATGACACTGAGCCCCCTCAGAATCCCGTGGCTCCCCCAGGCCCCCAGAACGAAGTGCTACCCCAGCCTGATCCAGTCTTCTTAGAAGCTCTGAGCTCCCGGTACCTGGGGGACTCTGGTCTAGATGACTTTTTTCTGGACATTGATACATCCGCAGTGGAGAAGGAGCCTGCACTGGCCCCACCGGAGCCTCCTCACAACCTGTTCTGTGCCCCAGGGTCCTGGGAGTGGAATGAACTAGATCACATCATGGAAATCATTCTGGGATCTTAAAACTTTGAGTGGTGTGCTCTTACATCTCAGCCTTGGCGGGCTGGATCCCCAGATGCAACTGTGTGTGTGTGCGTGTGTGTGTGTTACTGTTGGGCACTCTAAGCAGTGACTGTGGCCTTCTTTCCTCCTGTTTCAGGGTTCCACAAACTGTCTTGCATGTGTGTGTGTCTGGTTACCGTAGCCTTCTGTGAAGGTGGGTCTTCCTCAATTAATTTATCTGTTCCAAATGCCTTAATGAGACTGTGTTTCTGGGAGTCTGATTCCCACTTCCACATTTCTTCTGCCTTCCCCTTCAGTTCCTACTCCCTTCTGACCACTGGGGCCTCAGGAAAAGATAGGCTGGGCCTGTCAAAGGATGACAGGGATGTGCTGCCTGGTTGCTATGGAAACCCAGGCTCTGCCTCTTCTACCTTGAGGAAGTAGGAGGGGCTGGCCTTCTCCCCCCAGGCGGAACCCCACCTCCTCAGCAGGACCCCAGTTCCAGCAGACTCTTGATCCATAACCAGGCCGGACCACGTGCAATAGGGTGGAAACCAAACTGCTCCATCATGCCGCATTATTTAAAAGAAAGGCAGGTTTTGTGGTGGGGTTTTTTTTGTAATTTTTTTAATAAAAGTATTTTTGAAGGGATGGTGTGGTGTTGCCTAAAGTTTCTAAACTTCAGTAGGTCAATGGAGGGGACCCTGTAAGTTCCCTAGACACCTGTACCCCTTCCCTGCCAAAGCTGGGGAAGTATATCATTAAACAACATTTATTGAGTGCTTGTTACAAGCACTGTTCAACCCACTTCATTTGAATTAAGCCATATAATCCTCACAATTATATAGAAGTAAATCCTGTAATCATGTTTGACATAGGAGGAGCCTGAGGGTCAGAGAAACCAAGTCACTCACTCAGGGTCACACAGCTAGTAAGAGTGAGTACCAAGGAGCGCTTGGACTCAATCTGCCTCCAGAGCCTGGTTCTTAACTTTGTCTTTGTTGCTTCTTGGTAGATTTAGATTTCCAGCCACATGGGTAGGACGGGAGGGAGAAACAGTCATATCTGTCAAAAGATAGGTCTTTCTGGCACTTAAAAGTCAACCCTTTCATTGTATGAATAGCGGTGCTGAGGCCCAGAGGAGAAACAAAATGCCCAAAGACCCCCCCAGCACTAAAAGCAGATCTTTTAGAAAACCTGGTTAGGAAGCAGAGCCCAGGCTAAAGTTACAGTTTTTATGATTTATTTAGGACGTACGAGCCCAGGCTGGTGAGAGTGAGGGAAAACGGGAGGCCAGGGAAGATACAATGTTTGCGTTGCTGCTACACTGGCTATGCCTCCGCCAAGACCTTTGAGGACACAGCATTAGGGACTTTACGGGAACGGTCGCAAGGAGGAACCACACCTTGGTGTACTCCACAGGCAGAGAAAGGAGGGGGATTTCTGCCTGTGCTTTCTGGCTCAAAGCCAGATTCTCCCCCTGAGAGGAGCATTGCATCTAAGTCTGAAAGCAGTGGGGTGACTCTAACAGATGGGTGCCAATAAAAAAAAAAGGGGGGGTGGTCCAGAGGATCTCAAGAAGGCACGTGAGGTCTCTGCATCTCAATGGATCATGTTTTCCTCCTACTTAAAACTTTCAGGGACATCTCACACTCAGAATAAAACCCCCCAGGCCTTTGAGACCAGACGGTCTAGCTTCTAACATCCTCAGTTTAATCTACTCTCCCTCACCTCCAGCCACACTGGTTTCCTTCAACCCGAGCTCGTTTCGACCTCGAGGCCTTTGCACTTGCCGTTAATTCCCCGGAGGACGCTTCCCCCATAGCTTTACCAACTATGTCCGCTTCTTAGAGTCCCTCCCTGCCTTTCCTAGCTCAAAATGTTCAGATGGACCACCACGCCATCACATTCTGCTTGATTTTCTTAGTCGCACCTATCCAATCTCAAGTTACTACCCTTTTATGGTTAGCCCCCTGGTCTACTGGAAACTCTGAGAGGGGGGGGTTTGTCAGTCTTAGCCCAGCTGTATCCCCCGGTGCATAGAACTCTGCTTGGCACAGGTGGGCACTCAAAAAATTTATTTTTGCTTTTGTTGAAAAAATGAATCCTCAAACTCACCATGGCCAACTCTCCCTCCCACCTCTCTGAACATCTCCCCCAAACTCCCTCTCTCCTTTGCTCCAGCCACACCATTTTCTGCTGTTCTTCAAATACACCAGCATGGCCACCCTCTAGAGATGTGGAGTAATACCTGCCTCACTAAGCGATTGTGCAAAGTGTGTAAAAGGGGGCCTGGATGCACACCAAGGATTCCAATAATTGCTCAGATTTACTGAGTGTCTACCGAATGCCTCTTCCAGGCACAGGATTAAAATAGACACTTCCTGCTCTCCTAAAACATCGTAGTGGAGGGACGCTGAAATAAACATGAAAAGTAACAATAAATGCTGTAGAAAAAGAGTGTGATGGGGCTGCCACTATATAGATGGGACAGCTAGAGAAGGCCTCAGTGACAAGTTGACATTTGAGTAAAGACCTGAAGGAGGTGAGAAGTGAGCCAATCTGTGAGGGAGTGATCCTGGCAGAGGGAACAGCCAGCAAACGCAAAGGCCCTCAGATTGGAACAGGTGTGGAGCAGTCCAAGGACGGTGAGGTCAGTGTGGCTGGAGCAGAGTGAGCAAGGAGGAGAGGACTAGGAGATGAGGTGAAACAGTTGAGGGGGGCAAATTAGGTAGAGTCTAGTCCCACAGAGAGGACTAGAGCTTCACCCCGAGTGAGGGATAAGCCATAGGAGGGTGTTGAGCAAAGGTGGGGCGAGACCTGACTCACTTTTAAATAAGCCACAGTGAGGCCAATATGAGGAGCACCCCCACTTGCCAGGTGAACAAACTGAGGTTCAGAGGGGCCCAGCTCCTGCTCTGTTAAAGAACTAGCGAGAAAGGTGGAAAGGCTGGCGGGGCAGAGGGAACCGGGTCCCGAGGGCAGAGTCCACGTATCGCAACCAGCCCTCCGCCAGCTATTCCTCGGTGGGGGATGGGCCGCGGCCATCTCGGGGCGTGGCCGGGAGGTCGGGTCCCTCTTCCTCAGTCCACCCACCGCCCTGGGCTGGCCACAGACGGGATACCCCGGGGCGGCGGCAGCCGGGAGCCGGTCCGGCGCCTCCTCCCTCCCCAGAGGCCAGGTGGGGCGGCCGGCCAGGGCGGGGCGCTCCCCCTACCCGCTCCCTCCCCCCAGCTGGCGGAGGCTCCTCCCCAGGCCTGCTGGGCCCGGTGGCTGCGCTTCTGGTTTCATTTCCTAAGGCCCGGCCTCTTTCCTTCTCCCTTCCCCCAGCCCTTGAATCTCTGGTTCCTTCTCCACTTTCTAGTCTCAGCTCCAATGTCACCTCCTCGGGGAGGCTTTCCGGGACCACCCTGGCGACAAGCACCTCTCCTCAAGCCTCTCTTAATCCCATCCTTGTTTGTTTGGGGTTTTTTTCCAAGTCATTGAATAGAAGCAGAGATTATCCTCCTCATTTATTAACTTTCCAGGGTCTTTTCATCCCACTCAGAATGAAAAACAAAAGTCCATAGAGTGCTCTGAAGGGCCCGAAAGCGTCGCTGACCTCTTCCCAACGGCATGCAGCCCAGCGACACTGGCCTCGCCGCCTGGCCAAAGCCCGCTCCCGCCTCCTGGCCTTCATACTGGCCCTTCCCTCTGGCTGGACACTTCCTCCAGAGCCTCGCTACCTGTCTCATGTCACCTACTCCATGCACCTCTCATGTCACCTACTCTCATGTCCCTACTCCATGCACCTCTTTTCATATTTCTTTTCTCTCTCCAACCCCTCCCCTAACCCATAGAAATGGGACCATGTGAGTCTTAGCCGGTGTACCTCGTCATCTACAACAGTGCGTACCACGTAGTAGGTGCTCAGTAAATACACGTAAATCAAATGACTCCCATGAGTTCTACAGGGTTTGACCTGCAGCCAGCCTCTTGGAGACTCTGGGCTTCCTTTTTCCTAGGCCAACGAGATAGATTTGTGGCAGAAATTATGTGAATTTGCCTAGCAGGAGCCTGGTTCTAATTAGCATTTTACTCTCTCCCATGAAAAATTTCAAGCGCATAGAAAAGGTGGAGAAAAAAAAAAAAGGGTATTCTGAGCACTTGAATACCTAGAATTAATTGTAACATTTTAAGTTTCCTTTACCTGCATATGTACATGTGTAAATATATTTTTTCTGAACCACTGGAGAGTAAATGGTAGACACCATGACATTCTACCCCAACAGTTTGTCAGCCATGTCTTAAGACTAGGACACTCACCTACAAATCACATACTAGTTCACATCTAAGGGAATTAAGAATTCCGAAATATTATCTACTATCAAGTCAATACTTAAATTTCTCCAATTTTCCCAAAAAACATCTTTTATAGCTGTTCCCAACCCCCCTCCCCCCCCCAAAAAAAATTCAGGATTCAGTGAAAATTCACATGTTTATTTGGTTGTAATAAGGAAATTATATAGTACCTTCTATTCTGGAACATCCTCCCTCATTCCCAGTAATCCCTTTTTGTGTTCTTTTGAAGGTGAATTTTTCGTGGAACAGTTCTGTTGTACTGTAGATGTCCCACATTCTGTATTTGTCTGATTGTGTTCGTGCTTAATTCGTTTCTGTTTTCTATAAGCTGGAGTGTGGGTCTAGAGGCTAGATGAGACTCAGTTTATTCAATTTAATAGGCACACTCAGTAGGGAATGTTGTGTACTTCTTTTTTTTTAATTAGTTTATTTTTTTATGATGACACAGGTTAACAAAATCCAATAAGGTTCATCTATACACTTTAACAGTAAGGCATATATATATATTTACACTGTGTGTTCACCTCCCATAGTTAGATTTCTTTCTGTCACCATATATTGACACCCTTTACCCCATCTACCTCCCCCCGCCTCCCACCCTCTACCCTCTGGTAACCACTAGTCTATAGTCCATTTGATGAGTCTCTGTTTGTTCTGTTCATTTGTTGCTTTTAGGTTTATATCCCACATACAAGTGATATCATTTGATTTGCATCTTTTTCTGTCTGGGTTATTTCGCTTAGCATGATTATCTAGAGGTCCATCCATGTTTTTACAAATAGAAGTATTTCATCTCTTCTTATGGCTGAGTAATATTCCACTGTATATATGTACCACAGCTTCTTTATCCAGTCATCCATTGTAGAACACTTGGTTGCTTCCATGTCCTGGCCAGTGTGAATAATTGTTGTGTACTTCTTAATGAAGCATATCAAATGTCACTGGTGTTGGGGTGTCCCACTATGATGGATGCAGAGTTTCATTACCTGATTAAAATGGCGAGCACCACATCTCCACATTATAAAAGGATATTTCTCCCTATGCAATTAGCAAGTAATCTGTGCAGTGAGGGATTGGAGCTTGTCAGGAGCCTGTTTCACCCTAAGGCTTGAGCATCCATTGATCATCGCAGTCTGGATCAGCTAAGTATACTAGTTGATACTAGTATACTAGTTTACATAGCTTGCAAAGTGATTGCTCTGTAAGTCTAGTACTCTGACACCATATATAGTTATTACGATATTATTGATTATATTCCCTGTGCTGTACTTTACATCCCATGACTAATTTTATAACTGGCAATTTATACTTCTTAGTCCCTTTCACCTTTTTCTCCCATCCCACCACCCTCCCATCAATTTGTTCTCTGTATCTATGAGTTTGCTTCTGTTTTGTTTTGTTTGTCTTGTTTTTTTTTTTTAGATTCCACATATAAGTGAAGTCATATACAGCATTTGTTTTTCTCTGACTTATTTCACTTAGCATAGTATCCTCTAGGTCCATCCAGTTGTTGCAAATGGCAAGATTTCATTCTTTTTTATGGCTGGGTAATATTCCATTGTATATATTGAGACAGATGGCAAAACTCAGATCATAATAGTTCACAGGATAGAAATAATCCAGAGTGTTTTCCATAATGAAGGCCCATGAGACCTGACTGCCTTCTATTCACGTGCCCTTCCTTTTTAGGAAAATTTGGCCTCAATTCACATCCCACGGTTATGGTATTGCCTTACCCCAATGGTCCATCATTTCAACAAGACAATGTCAGTACTAAGACTTCTAAAAATGAGCCTTCCTAGCGCTGTGACTACACTATCCCACCAAAATGTTGGTCATCAATGCATCCTTCATATTGATTAATGACCCAAAGAGGGAATTGTGAATGAAAAGAGGGCTATGTACTAAATCTGACAAAGTCCAGTGTCAGAATGTATCCTCACAGGGTGATCTGATCATAAATTACTAACTGAGCAGGTCATGGTGGGTAGTCATACCGCAGGCCTATTAAAGGGTTCTCTTTGCCCTAAGCAAGCACCGTCCATTGTTCTTACACATCTAGGTTAACACACCTTTGAAATGCCTCTTTTTCAGACCCCTCAGAAGAGTAACCATCCTCAAGAGAGCATGTAATCTTGTTCAGTATCCTGTTGTCTAACCCTATCTTGCTTTCTCCCACTTTCATGTAATCTTCCTTACATTTCCTCCTTAATTCCAAAAGCATAAAAGAAGCTGCAAAACTGTCATTTGCTGGAGCATTTAAGAGCTTGCTTCCCAGCATGGCATTGGTTTTGGCTCAGATAAACTCATAAAAATTCTCTATAGGTTTGGACATTCTTACATTGACAATATGTACCACACCCACTTTATCCATTCATCTATCGATGGACACCTAGGTTGCTTCCATATCTTGGCAATTATAAATAATGCTGCATAATATAGTTAGCATTTCCGAGAGCTTACTTTCATCAAGAGAGTTATTCACAATGAACAGTTCTTCCCACAGCTTCAGAAGAGTTAGCAAATGAGCTACTCGAAGAAGGTAAATCCCACTGTCAGTTTATCAGACAAGTATTAAACTGCTGTCTACCTATACCCCCCCCCGCCCATCCTCTTGATAAGCACCTGTGCTATTACAACAGCTATTACCACGAACAAAAGGACACATCACACACCACTCTGAGCATATTGCACGAATTGTTCTATTTAATCCTCAAAGCAATCCTCTGCACCAAAGATTATTTCCCTCATTTTAATAAAGATGAGGAAACTGATACTCTAAGGGATTAAAACCCTTGCCCAGGGTCACACAGCTAATTAGAGAATAGAACCCAAAATGTGACCCCAGTGGCATCCCGCCTCCACTACTACCTTTTGACACCCACAATTGAATCCTACTGCCCAGAATTTGCTGAATCTGGTATAGTGCTCTTAACAGATACGATCTTATTTTAATTTTCCTAACCCAAGAGGTATGCAAGATCACCATTTCACAGACTTCGTGTGGCTCAAAGCAGTGAAGCATTTTTCCAAGGTCACACATCGAGTGAGTGGTGAGTCAGAAATTGAACCCAGGCCTTTCTGGTCTAGCGTGTAGACCCCTTTGGGGGCTGGTTGCGTAATAAGCTCACTTGCTGGGTTCGGCAGGTGCATGGGTAGGTGTGAATGGCCCGCACCTTGATAACCTAAAACTCTTCGCCGCCACTTCCTGCCAGGCCAAATAGCCTCCCCACCTTCTCTACTCCTCACGCAGCCACCCGGGCATGCGCCCTAAAGCCGACCTTCCCTCAGTTGGAACCTGCCCCCCACAGGCTCCGCCCATCACCGCCCAAGACCAATCCCTGGGTGGAGGGCGGGGCCACTACGGGAGTGGGCGGTAGCTAAGAGGAGTCAGGAGCCTAGAGTCGTGCGCCGGAGTCAGAACTGCGTCTCTCGACCCAGGCGCCGGCTGCAGAAGGAGAGCTAGCGAGCGATGCTGCCGCCGCCGCTTCCTGATTGGCTGCGGGTGGCTCCCTCTTCGTCCTGATTG